AAGATATAGGGATGGTGTCATGTAGCTTTGTGCAACTTTGCTGTGTAATGACCCCTTGTTTCTTCCTTTTTGGTGCTTCAAGCCATCCCTATGTCCCCCTTTCATTTTGAAGAAATGATTTTTCCACTTGTATAGGAATGGTTGGCCAGAGTCTGAGGAGACCCAACATAAGTAGACACCATACACACACACCATGTACAATGTGTCGCTCGTGTTGCACCTATATTATGTGCTCCGCTGATGGGTTCCCATGCACACATTAGGAGATGAAACATACGCACGAAAGTTAACATAACTGGTCAAAAAACTACAAACAATATCATTCTGTTGAGGTGTACAAACTGGTATTGACATTCATAATGTAGCAAAAACAATGTTCAGGGGAGGGCTCTGTGCACAAGCCATGTCCACTAGTCACACAGGTTCATAGTCTCCAGTAGCAGTAGTGGTAGGTTGTTGAGAGGTGGTGGTGGGAGGAAGGTTTTGTGGTACTTCATAATCATCTTCAGCTGTCCTTCCAGTCCCTCTCACTACATTGTAGGCCTCATTACTGGTGGTCTGGAGCTGGTCTGGATCTCTGGAGTGAGGCCATCAGTGGTATAGAAATCATCTCACAGTGTTTCATATATGGGGAGACTTACGCATATGTTGGCTCTGAGAACTTGGAGAGCTCCACTGATTGATTTGTAGCTCCAACCTTAGCTCTGTATCAAATACAATGACATAATTATTATGTCATACTAATGTAAGAGTTTATGATCCTGCCTTGTTTTTGCAGAGTAATTTCCACTGCGACTTCTCAGCACTAGAATCACTACCACTATGACTGTCAGTGACGTAGCGATTATAAGAACCACAACCACAGCCACTACTCCACCAATAATGGCAGATGTGTTGTCACATTCACAGCTAGTACTCTCTGCCTGGTTGGCATCAATCACTGGAAATGAAAACACAATTGAATATCAGTGGCATCCCATAGTTTTCTCTACTTATGTTTTATGCTGACAGTGGCTATATACTCCCATAGTTTTCTCCACTGGTGGTAATGATATTCAATTATCATTCATTGCAGTGACTGTAGAGCTGTGTTTCTGAGTAACACGTGTCTGAAACTCACCTCCTCCATCAGTAGAGCGAGTGAAGGTGGTGGAAGAGTTCCCAGCAGGGTTGAAGACTGTGACAGTGATGTCATAACTAGTTCCACTGCTCAGCTTGTCCATAGTGTAGCTGTTCTGGTCTGCAGGGAGTCGTCCACTAGTCCCTCCCTCAGCATTGCAGACTCCTCTTCTTCTTCTTCTTCTCATCTGCTCTGTTAGCTCCCAGCTCACCTCAGAGCCAGTTACATCAGGAGGAACGGCCCAGGAGATAGTGATTGTATCTGCTGTGGCCACAACGGCATCGGTGACCACCATTGGCTGGGCTGGAGTCGACACTGCAGAATTGAACACAGGTCAAAAGTCACACACTATACTTCCTTCCTATGACTCACCTAGTCTAACTTGTTTCATGATGGGGGAACTTGCCAGTTGGTTTGGAGACGTAGCTACAATGGATATGGTGTAGGTCTCTCCAATAGTAAGATCAGTAAGTTTCAAACGTGTAGAATCAGCACCGAGCTCTACCCTATCACCAACGCCTCCACCATCATAGTCAATTCTATAGCCAGTGGCATCACTGGATGGACTCCAAGACACTAGGATACTAGTGGGACCATCCTGGACTGCTGTCACAGCAGTGGGAGGTGATGTTCCTGGAGAACTTGCCTGATAAAATCAGCTCATACACATAATATGTATAATATACCTTCTAATGAGATAGTAGCCGACTTAGAGAAAGCAATATTAGACACAGTACATATGTAATCTCCTGCTGTGGTCACATTCAAGGTGTGGCTATAGTTTGCAGTCACTGGGTCATTCAACACAGTCTGGGTTCCTTGGGTGACAGTGGTGGAGTCTCTGGTCCAAGTGACAGTGGTAGCAGGTCCACCAGTGGAGATACAGGTGAGGGTGAACTGAGGACTGGCTCCACTGATGATGGAGTGTGGAGGAAGTGTAGATAGCATGATTCGACCTGAAAAGTAACCGAGTATTGTGATTGCACGTATAAAGTAGCATGATGTTATATACCTCTTCCACTGGTGTACAGTCCTACATAAATTGAATGGAGTGTGGATTCTGCATCATCAACTAAACATTGATATATTCCTTCAGCTGCAGTACCAGCGGTCCTCTTCAGTCTCACTACCATAGGACCTCTGGTTCTGCTGAATCCTGGAACATCACTATCATCTTTGTCACCCTACTCTGGTCTTGTCTGGAGCAAACCAGTCTCCTCCAGAATGAGGGGGACTGCCAGAAGATGGTGGAGGACGGTTAGTGATACACAGTAGAGCAGTGTCATCAGTGGAGCCAATATCACTGATGTACAAAAGGCCGTTATTAGGGATGACAGCTCCATTCAGACTGAGGAAGACATCTGCGGATGGAGTGAGTGAAGAGTACAACAGAAATTCAGAACACACATGTGGAATGTAGAATAGCATTCGTGCACAGTATCGCAAACTATTAATGATGACATGTGCACATACGGTACTGGTGTCTCTTCAAAGTACCGGACAATGACTAGCATAATAATAGCTTTTCGCTAGCTTTTTAACACACAATATCACGTAATCCTCAATGCATACGCAATCTGAAACTATAACTACAGAGTCTACTCACCAGCAGGAGTCTGGATCGTGAGAGTATCACTGTAGACTCCAGTACCACCACTGGTGACTGCTGCCACTTGAACAGTGTAGACTGTCTCTTTAGTCAGTCCAGACACTCTGGTCATTCTTCCACTGGAGTCTCCTGACACCATCTGAACACTCCTGGCTTCCTCGCTGCTCCCCTCCTCCCCATACCTCACCATGTAGCCTGTTATCTCTCCATTCTGATGTATACACTCCACTGGTCCCCACTGCACTGTGATACTAGTGGAACTCTCCACTCTCACCACCACAACAGTAAGAGGGGCAGATGGAGCTGTGAACATAGGAGAGAATATCACGAGAGGGAACCTTGTGAGGTAAGTTTACCAGCAGTCAGTGTGGTGGCTGTGGTGCTGCCTTCTTGAGTCCCTCCATTCCCAGTCAGAGTGGCAGTGACAGTGATAGAATACTCAGTTCCCTCCTCTAGACCAGTCAGAGTGTATGATGTCCCACTGGGAGAGATATCACTTCTGGAGTGAGTGAAACAGTCAGTGTTAGTGTTGAAGTAGGAGATGGTGTAGGAGGTAGCAGTCAAACTGTCCTCCAGTGTCCATGAGATGGTGAGGGAGGTAGAGGATGAGGGAGTGGCTGATACAGTGAGTCCAACTGTGAAAAATTCCAGAAAAGTGTTCAGTGATGACTGTGACTAACAACAGACTGAAACTTCAATTGAGAGGGGTCTTGTAGCTAAAGTCAGCTGTGCTACTGCATGACGTATGTAGCTTGATAGTCGTCTGTTTGCTCGGCTTTGTACACATTCGTGCACTGCCCACCTTAAATGTTACAAGACATTCTTTTACATTACACATCAACTTTTGCACACAGTGATGTAAGGGTAAAAGTCTGGGTAAAAACTAGATAGTATAACAGACACAAACATGTGCACACAGTGTACCTGCTACAACAGTGCTAGCTGAGTCAGAAGATGGCTTGTTATTAGCCACGGTACAAGTGTATAGTCCTTCAGTAGTCACAGTCAGAGTGTGGGTGTACTGTGCAGTCACTGGGTCATTCAACACAGTCTGGGTTCCTTGGGTGACAGTGGTGGAGTCTCTGGTCCAAGTGACAGTGGTAGCAGGTCCACCAGTGGAGATACAGGTGAGGGTCAGCTGGTCGGAGTCAAATGTCACTCCTCCAGATATTGAAACATCTCCTGAACAAAGTGTAGCAGAATCCCCATTAGCAGTCACACATCAATTTCATAGTACTGGCACGTATAGTATACTCTTGGCTAGTGAGCTCTATAAATAGTAAGTTACTCTTCTCATACCTCCACTGGCAGGATACAGTCCCACATAGACTGTGTCTCTCACTGAGATGTCAGTATCATCGTGGACAGCAAGAGTTGGAATACCACAGCGATAGATACCAGTTGGTGAGTTAGCATTAGTGTTACGACGTATGTCAACTCTCTGAGCTACACGAGTCCTAAAGGTATCAACATTAGATGCAGCGAAAGGCAATTGAGTTCCATTAGGGAAATACCAATCTCCACGATGAGAACCCTGACTACTATTACAACATGTGCTCAGGTCAGTGATACACTGAACACCTTCACCACTCTCAACATCAGGTCTCCCCACTTGACTGATGTCCTCATAGGAATTGTTGGCCAGAGTCGTGCCGTTGAAGAAGAGACGGGGAAAGGTCTGAGACTGGACCTCCACCAGAGACCAGAGGAAACTCAACATCACTAGGTGGAAGCAAGAATACATGTCTTCGCAGCTAGCTAGCTTCGCTTTGTTTCGTTATGCGCATGCGTATAGTCGATCTCTAAACGCGCTGCAAGTGTACACGTTCTGCTGGTGTCTTACCATGCACATATTAGGAGATGAACCAATGCCCATGAAAGTTAACATAACTGGCTAAAACTACAAACAATAATATCGAGGTGTACAAACTGACATAGTATTGACATTCATAATAAATTATAGCAAAAACAATGTTCAGTGGAGCACAAGCCATGTCCACAGTCACACAGGTTCATAGTCTCCAGTAGCAGCAGTAGTGGTAGGTTGAGAGGTGGTGGTGGGAGGAAGGTTTTGTGGTACTTCATAATCATCTTCAGCTGTCCTTCCAGTCCCTCTCACTACATTGTAGGCCTCATTACTGGTGGTCTGGAGCTGGTCTGGATCTCTGCCATCAGTGGTATAGAAATCAGCTCACAGTGTTTCATAATATGGGGAGACTTACGCATATGTTGGCTCTGAGAGCTTGGAGAGCTCCACTGATTGATTTGTAGCTCCAACCTTAGCTCTGTATCAAATCCAATGACATAATTATTATGTCATACTAATGTAAGAGTTTATGATCCTGCCTTGTTTTTGCAGAGTAATTCCACTGCGACTTCTCAGCACTAGAATCACTACCACTATGACCGTCAGTGAAGTAGCAATTATAAGAACCACAGCCACACCCACTACTCCACCAATAATGGCAGAAGTGTTGTCACATTCACAGCTAGTATTCTCTGCCTGGTTGGCATCAATCACTGGAAATTAAAACATAATTGAATATCATTACTTTATACCAGAGGTATGACAGCACTCCCACAGTTTTCTCCATTGGTGGTAATATATTATCATTCATTGCAGTGACTGTAGAGCTGTGTTTCTGAGTGAATTGTCTCTGAAACTCACCTCCTCCCTCAGTAGAGCGAGTGAAGGTGGTGGAAGAGCTCCCAGCAGGGT